CCCAGTCCCTCCCAGTCCATCCCAGTCCCTCCCAGTTTGTCCCAGTCCCTCCCAGTTCATCCCAGTGCCCCCCAGTCCCTCCCAGTTTGTCCCAGTCCCTCCCAGTTCCCTCCCAGTCCCTCCCAGTTTGTCCCAGTCCCTCCCAGTTCCTCCCAGTCCCTCCCAGTACAAGCACACCTCCCGGGTGTCCGTCTGTGCCTTTATTCCACCCAAAGTCCCGGATTTCCCCCCAAAATCCCAATAATTTCGGGAATCCGGGCGGATTTTGGAAGGATCTCGTGCGGATTTTTGGGAATTTTGGGAGGAATTCCGAGGAGGATTTTGAGGGGGATTTTTGGGAATTTCGAGGGGAATTTTGGAAGGATTTCGTGCGGATTTTTGGGAATTTTGGAAGGATCTGGTGCAGATTTTTGGGAATTCCGAGGAGGATTTTGGGAGGATTTCGAGGAAGATTTTGGAAGGATTTTGTGTGGATTTTTGGGAATTTTGGGGGGATTTTTGGGAGGATTTTTGGGAATTCTAAGGAGGATTTGGAGGAGGATTTCGGGGGGAATATTGGGGGAAAAGTGGGGAAATATTGGGGGAAAATTGGGGGGAAATTTGGGAGAAAATTGGGGAAATATTGGGGGAAATTTGGGGGAATATTGGGGGAAATTTGGGGAAAAAGTGGGGGAAAATTGGGGGAATATTGGGGGAAAATTGGGGAAAAATTGGAGAAAAATTGCGGGAAAATTGGGGGAAAATTGGGGAAAAAATGGGGGAAAATTGGGGGAAAATTGGGGATTTTTTGGGATTTTTTTCAGGATTTTTTTGGGATTTATTTTGATTTTTTAAATTTTTTCTCTGGATTTTTTAGGGATTTTCAATAGATTTTTGGAGGATTTTTGGAGGATTTTTTCAGGATTTTTGGAGGATTTTTGGAGAAAAGTTTGAGGATTTATTGGGGAATTTTTGGGATTTTTTTGGGGATTTTTTGGGGGGATTTTTGGGAGGGCTCCAAAATTTGGGATTTTCCTTCCGGAATGTTCTAATCCCGATTTTTTTCCCATTTTTCTGCAGTTCTGGTCGTGCTCAATCACTACCTGGCCTTCCAATATTTCTCCGAGGAATTTTACCTTTTTTCCGAGGTGAGATCCCAAAAATTCCGGAATTTTCCCCGTGGGAAAAATCCCAAATTTTGGGTCGGGAACTGGGAATTTCCTTAAAACAAAAATAAAATTTTAAATTTTTTAATTTTTTAAAATTAAATTTTTATTTTTCCCCATTTTCTTCGGAGCCTTTCTTGAGGTTCTGAAATTCCCGGGCAGCTTCAAAATTTGGGATTTTCCCCCCAAAAAATTCCAGGAATGTGGAATTTAATCCCAATTTCTCCCTAAAATGCCAAAAATTTCAGGAATTCTCGGAAATTTTAGGAAAAACCACGAAATAAAAAAATGAAATTCCAAATTTTTTAACCAATTTTAACCCAAATTTTTTCCTATTGGGAATTTCCATTCCTGATTCCATAAAAATCTCGGGAAAATCCAAAATTTCCCAAATTTTTTTTTGTTTTTTCCCATGAATTTAATTAGTTTTTCCATATGGATTGAATGGAATGAATTAAAATTTTCCTTCAATTAATCCTTCATTAAAATTTTAATTAAAATTTGGGAATTCGAATCCAGGAAGAGCAAAAAAAATTGGGAATTTTTGGATCTCACAAAAAAGGGGTGAGGTGGAATTTTCCCTCAGGAATTCTGGGAATTTTGGGAATTTCTGTTGGAATTTTGGGATTTTTGGGAATTCTGGCTGGAAAATTTTGGGAATTCTAAGCTGGAATTTTGGGATTTCTGAGCTGGAATTTTGGGAATTCTCAGATGGAATTTTGGGGTGTTTGGGTTGGAATTTTGTAGGGGTTTGCGTCGGAATGTCGGGATTTCTGAGCCGGAATTTTGGGAATTCTGGGCTGGAATTTTGGGCATTCCAGCTGGAATTTTGGAGGTTTTAGGCTGGAATTTTGGGGTTTTTGGGTCGGAATGTCGGGATTTCGGAGCCGGGATTTCGGGGCTTTTTGGGCTGGAATTTTGAGGGTTTTCGTTTGGAATTTTGGGCATTCCAGCTGGAATTTCGGGAATTCTGGGCTGGAATTTGGAGGGTTTTGGGCTGGAATTTTGACGGTTTTGGGCTGGAATTTTGACGGTTTTGGGCTGGAATTTTGGGCATTCCAGCTGGAATTTGGGGGTTTTTGGGCTGGAATTTTGGGGTGTTTGGGCTGGAATTTTGAGGGTTTTGGGCTGGAATTTTGAGGGTTTTGGGCTGGAATTTTGGGCATTCCAGCTGGAATTCGGGGGTGCTTGGGCTGGAATTCGGGGGTGTTTGGGTCGGAATGTCGGGATTTCGGCGCCGGGATTTCGGGAATTGACGTTGGAATGTTGGGAATTCCGCAGGTCCTGGCCTACTTCACCTTCTGCCTCTGGCTGATCCCCTTTGCCTTCTTCGTGTCGCTGTCGGCCGGGGAGAACGTCCTGCCCTGCACCGTGCAGCCCGCAGGTGGGAATGGGAATGGGATGGGAATGGGAATGGGAATGGAATGGGAATGGGAATGGGAATGGAATGGGAATGGGAATGGAATGGGAATGGGATGGGATTGGGAATGGGAATGGGATTGGGAATGGGAATGGAATGGGAATGGGATGGGAATGGGAATGGAATGGGAATGGGAATGGGAAGGGAATGGGAATGGGAATGGAATGGGAATGGGAATGGAATGGGAATGGGAATGGAATGGGAATGGGAATGGGAATGGGAATGGAATGGGAATGGAATGGGAATGGGGATGGGAATGGAATGGGAATGGAATGGGAATGGAATGGGAATGGGAGTGGGGATGGGAATGGGAATGGAATGGGAATGGAATGGGAATGGAATGGGAGTGGGAATGGGAATGGGAATGGGATGGGATGGGAATGGAATGGGAATGGGAATGGGAGTGGGAATGGGATGGGAATGGGGATGGGAATGGGAATGGGATGGGAATGGGAATTGGGAACGGGAATTGGGAACAGGAGCGGGAATTGGGAATGGGATCGGGGTCGGGATCAGGATCGGGGTCGGGATCGGGATCGGGAATTGGGAATGGGATCGGGAATTGGGAACGGGATTGGGAATTGGGAACGGAATCGGGGCCGGGATCGGGATCTGGATCAGGATCGGGATTGGGAATGGGCGGGAAAGGGTTTCAAACTCCTCCGGTTCAAATCCCGCTCCAAATGTCCCAGAAATTTGGGATCCCAAAGGCTCAAAGAATCCCAAAAATTTGCGATTCCGGGGGCTTCCTAAACTCTCAGAATGCCCCAGAAATGTGGGATTTTGGGAGGCATTGAGCCCCTGGAGAATCCCAAGGGTTGAATGTCCTGAACTCCACGGTGCAGCCCGGAGGTGGGAACGGGGTCAGGATCGGGATTGGGATTGGGGATTGGGATTGGGGATTGGGAATTGGGATTGGGAATTGGGATTGGGAATTGGGATTGGGAATTGGGATTGGGAATTGGGATTGGGAATTGGGATTGGGAATTGGGTCAGGAATGGGATTGGGCAGAAAGGATTTTGAGTTTGTCCGGTTCAAATCCCGCTCCAAACGTCCCAGAAATTTGGGATTTTTGGGATCCTCAAGGGCTCCGAATATCCCAGGCATGAGAGATCCCAAAAGCTCCAAGATTCCCAAAAAATTTGGGATTTTTGGGCTCCGAATATCCCAGAAATTGGTGATCCCGAAGGCTCAAAGAATCCCTAAAATTTGGGATTCCTGGAGCTTCATAAAGGCTCAAAACGTCCCAAAAATTTGGGATTTTTGGGCTCCGAATATCCCAGAAATTTGAGATCCCAAAGGGTCAAAGAATCCCAAAAAATTGGGGATTTTTGGGATCCCCAAAGGCTCAGAGAATTCCTGGGATTGGGAGCCCCAAAGGCCCAGAAATTCGGGATTTTTGGGCTCCGAATATCCCAGGAATCAAAAATTCAAAAAATCTCCAAAAATCCCCAAAAATTTGGGATTTTGGCCTGCAAAATCTCTGAGAATTCCATGGATTTTTGCATCCCCCGACACCCCGATCCCGCGTTCCCGACTTGAGGAATTCCACCCCCAAAAATCCCCCCGAATTCCCGTCGGGAATTCCGACGCCGTTCCCGTTTTTCCGCAGACGACGTCGTCTCCAATTATTTCACCAAAGGGAAGCGAGGGAAGCGCTCCGGGATTCTCCTGATTTTCTCCTTTCTCAAGGAAGCCATCCTGCCCAGCAGGCAGAAAATTTACTGAAATTCCCCAATTTTGGGCAATTTTGGGGAATATCCAGGAGATCCCCGGCCGGAAGATCCCAAATTTTTGCCTCTTTCAGCCGGGAATTCTTTGGGAATTCAGAGACTTGGACACTCCTGGAGGTGCCGACCACGTTTGGGGGTTTTTTTCCTGCTGATTCCCTTGGGAATGTTTCCTGGGGAAAATGTTGGGAATTTTGGGAATTTCCCAGGTTTTTTTTGGAGCTGCTCCTGGATTGCACAGAGCCCGGGAATTCCAAAAAAAATGGGAAAAATCGGGAGAAATCCGGAAGATTCCACGTTGTTCCTTCGTCCCGGTTTTTCCAGAGGGAATGATTCCCAAAAAAACCAACAACAACAAAAAAATCAGGATTTGGGTGGTTGAAATCCTGGAAATTCCCGTTTTTCCCTCCAGCAAAACCTTGGGAAGGAGTGGATGGGAAGGGATTTTCCATGGGAATTTCGTTTTTCCAGGGAATTCCCAGAATTCCAGATTTTTCTGATCCTGCAGACGAAGAGGGGGGAACGTTGAGAATTCCCAAATTTTTTCCTTCCTCCTTTTCCGAAGGGTGAAAATCCTCCGAGGGAGCTGCAGATTTTTTCTTTCCCATGAGAAAATTCCTGTTTTTTTTTTTTTCCCGGATTTTCCCATTCCCACCCCAGCCAGCCTCGGGAATTCCTGATCCAGAGGATTTTTTTCAGGAATTCCCCCAAAAAAATTCCTTTGGAAAAGCTGGAATTTTGCTCCAAGACCTCTTGGATTGGAGTTTTCTCGCCGTGTTTTTAAATTTTATTTTTTTTTTCCCTCTGGATTTCCTGGAAAATTCCAGGATGGGAATGAGGAAAATCAGGAATTCCTGATTCCTTTGAATCCCGATTTTCCTGGGAATTTTTCCAGCCGTTTTTCCCTATTTTTCTAGCCTGGGTTTCCAGGAGCTGAATCGGATTTTAGGGAAATCGTGGAATTCCATCAATATTTAACCAGGAGAAGGAAATTTGGGATGAAACCCCCGGAAATTTGGGAATAAAACATTCCCAGAAACGCCGGGAATGGCAGGAATTGACGAATAAAGTGGAAAAATCCTGGATTTTCCTTGGGAATTTTGAGGGTTTTTCTTGGGATTTGGATTTTTTGGGGATCCCTGGAAGTGTCCAAGGCCGGGCTGGAGCTGGGATTGGGGAATTTGGGTGGAATTTTGCCGTGGGAATTCCAGGATTTTGGGGGAAACTCGTGGATTCCCATCCCGTGGGATTGTGGATTTTCCTGGATCTGGAAAGGGCAGGACAAGGAAATCCCTGGAATTTCCTTGGAAGCAGCAGGGAGAGGCCAAAAAAAAGCTGGAATTTGGAAAAATATGGGAAAAAACTCCCAAGATTTGAAGAAATCCCGGAAAAAACTGCAGGAAAATTCCAAGAATTGGAGAAATTCGGGGAAAAAATCCAAGATTTAGGAAAAATCTGGGAAGAAACTCCAGGAATTGGAGAAATCTGGGAAAGAACTCCAGGATTTGAAGAAATTCCGGAAAAATCTCCAGGAAAGTTCCAGGATTTAGGAAAAATCTGGGAAAAAAACTTCAGGATTTGGAGAAATGTGGGAAAAACCTCCAGGAAAGTTTCAAGAATTGGAGAAATTTGGGAAGAAACTCCAGGATTTGGGAAAAATCTGGAAAAAAAAAACTCCAAGAAAGTTCCAGAATTTGGAGAATTTGGGGAAAAAACCTTGAATTTCCAGGAATCGGGAAAAAGCTCCGGGAAAGTTCCAGGAATTGGGAGAAATCCAGGAAAAAACTCCAGGATTTGGGAAAAATCTGGGAAAAACTCCAAGGAAGTTCCAGAATTTGGAGAAATTCTGGGAAAAAACGAAGGAAATTTCCAGGAATTGGGAAAAATCTGGGAAAAAGCTCCAGGAAAGTTCCAGGAATTGGAGAAATTCGGGAAAAATCTCCAGGATTTGAAGAAATTCAGGAAAAATCTCCAGGAAAGTTCCAGGATTTTGGAGAAATTAGAAAAAAAACTCCAGGATTTGGGAAAAATCTGGGAAAAACTCCAAAAAAGTTCCAGGAATTTGAGATTTCTGGGAAAAAAACCTCCAATTTTCCAGAAATTGGAAAAATCTGGGAAAATTTTGGGAAAGAAGGGTGGGAAAATTTGGGGAATTGAGTGTGGGAAATCTTGGGAAAGGAGGGTGGGAAATTTTGGGAATTGAGGGTGGGAAATTCTGGGAAAATCTTGGGAAAGAAGGGTGGCAAAATTTTGGGAATTGAAGGTGGGAAAATCTTGGGAAAAAGGGGTGGAAAATCCTGGAAATAAGGGCGGAAATCTCGGGAAAGGAGGTCGGAAAATCTTGGGAAATGAGGGCGGGAATTCCTGGAAAAATCCTGGGAAAAAGGGGAGGAGAATCCTGGGAAAGGAGGCAGAAAATTCCCGGGAAATCCCAGGTAAGGAGTCAGGAAAATCCTGGGAATCTGAGGGTGGAAAATTCTGGGAAAGGAGGTTGGAAAATCTTGGGAAATGAGGGCGGGAAATCCTGGAAAAATCTTGGGAAAAATGCGAGGAGAATCCCAGGAAAGGAGGCCGGAAAATCCTGGGAATGGAGGATGGGAAATCCCAGGAAAGGAGTCAGGAAAATCCTGGGAATCTGAGGGTGGAAAATGTCCCTTTCCGTGTCCTTCTCCGTGTCCTTCTCCGTGTCCTGTGGAGTCAGCGCCCGTGGAGTTCCCCATGGAATTTCCCATGGAATTCCCCATGGAATTGGTGGCCTTGGAATGGTTCTCCATGGAATTGGTGCCCGTGGAGTTCCCCATGGAATCCCCCATGGAATCCCCCATGGAATCCCCCATGGAATC